TCTGAAACATAATATCAGTTGAATCTCTAATTTTAAAACATGTAAAAAAACTAAGTCTCTTTGCTTCCTTATATTTTAATAGTATATTTTCTAAATATCCAGGTTCAACTGTATAATTATAATCATCAGAAATATTGTCAGAGTGATATTGAATTCCATGACAAGGTGCATCAGTAATTAAAAAAGTACATAAAATACTATCTTGATGTCTAGATATATTTAAATTTAATCCTTATTCCAATGCAGTAACAATATCTTCTGCCTAATCACCACCACCTTGAGCTACCTATTTTGAAATTACTTTAATTATTTCATCAAAGTTTTCTGTTAAACATCTATATACTAATTAATCTTATTCATCACATATATCTCTATATCCTACAAATCCAATTCTTACTCCATATCCATTTATCTTTTCTTTAAATTGATATATTATATTTGCAATTTACATTTTTATAGCTTATAACCAACGTTTCATTGATAATGTTAAATCTAATATAAATATTACATCTATGATATTTGATTAATGAATTTCCCTTTAAAATTTTATGAGTTTTTGTTTATCACACACTTATTGAATTTCAGTTTGCTTTGAAATCTAAAGAAAATTAATAAAACTATGTTAAGCTATTAAAGTTGTACAAGGTAATAATTGTTATTTTTAAAAAGAAATTTAATTTAGGTATTCCCAATCACAATGTATTTTTAGACATTTTTTATTTGGACATTCACCTTTAAAATAGTTTAAACACATATTTTAAAATGTATCTAAATGATAAATGCAATTACATTTATCATTTTCACAAATGTTTTCTGGATTAATTTAGGTTACATTATATTAGTTATAAACTTCTTTTCTAAGTTTATCCCAAGAGAGATGCCTATTTTAACAATTATTATTTTTGCATATATTTGTAAAATTATTCAAACATATTCCTTTAGCCCATTTTCTATGAATAAATTGACATTAACTCTATTAACAAATTTGTTGAGGACATAAATTAAAACACCAAATACCATTGATTGGAGATATTTATAATAATAAATGAACTTTTTCAAGATTAAAATGATAAAATGGACAATTATCATTAAAACATTTTTTGTTTTTATAGATATATTCTTCATCCTAAACATTATATTTTAAATATTCTAAACATATTCCTACATATTTTCTTTCGTGAGTTGATTAACAATCATCATCTAAACAAAATATTGTGTTGTTGCAAATATCATTTATGTTATTTATATTCATTAGTTAATTTATATTATATAAAAAAAGTTTTCTATTTAATTTTAAATGGATATGAATTATATTATTATATATATGTAAATAGTAACTTAATAATAGATTTAATTTTAATGGAATTATAAAGATGTAAGAAAAATTCTATTAAATAAATTATAAATATAATACAAGTCTATAAGAAATGATATTCAAATAAAAAATATTTTGTTTTGAATAATTGTTTTAATTCTTATTTTCTTATATTTTTAATGATTTAAATATAAAGAACAATTAAATGTTTAAATCAATCAAATTAAATTATTATTTATGAAGTTCTAATACTTTATATATATATTAATAAAGCTTATTGATAGTAATTCAAAATATTTAAATAGTTTGCATAATAGTCAAGTTTATTTAATTATAATTTAAAATATAAAAAATTATTTATAATATGATTTATAGACCATTACTCATAGAAACTTGTTAATATAAATACCGTATGGGAAGTGAGGAGAAATCATTTTCTATTAAAAAAAAAGTTGATTACTATCCTTACTTTAGATAAAAGGTGACTAGTCAATCATTTCATATTGAACCTCTTACTACAGATAAAAAAAAGTCAAAAAAATAACTGACATTGAATCAAAAATTAGGAAATTCAGATATTAATATACAATAATATATTGAGTTTAATGTATAAATTTGAAGAAATTAGATTAAAGAAAAGCCTATGTATAGTAATACTAATAAAAGAGTTAGATAATTAATAATATAGGATAACAAATTAATGAGAAAATAAAATAAACTTAATAGTTTTGCTGAAATACTTACTTAATAACACAAATCATATCATTAAAAATAGATGAAATAATAAGTTTTATCTATGTTAGATTAAGGATAACTTTTTAGAAAGGTTGAAAGTCCTTAAATGAGTCCAAAATAATAATTAGAATTATAATCAAAAACATAATAAAATTGTGCAGAACAATAAATATAAGATAAAGTTTAAAATTATTTATCAAGAAAGAGTATTCATCTTTAAAGACTTTCTTAAAGAATAGATGATATTAATATATCAAAAAGATCAATTATAAATACAAGTTCAGCTGAAAGAGATTTAAAAATTTCTTCTACTTTTTTTAAGGACTTTATTGGTGTTTCTTAATAATTTAAATATAAAGAGAAATAAGATCCAGAATTATTAAAAGAATCTTATAAATATTGGGCATAAAGTATAAGAACAAAAAAGGATCCATAAAAAAAAAGAAAGGTTGGAGCAGTATTTAGTATATCAGTAAGAATGAAACTTGAAAAAATGAGAAGCTTAATTTTAGATTGTGTTAAAAAATTGAGATTTATGAAATTAGATCCTGAATTATTAATGTAAAGTAGAACAATATTAAAAAAACCTTATTAAAGAGAAGGTTCTTATGTATTTTTTAAAGGTGTAACTAAAAATGATATTGATTTAGTAAAATTGATGCTTGATAAATGCAGATTTTATGCTTTTGATTTAAATGAAAATTTATAAACAGCTTTACATATTTGTTCTAGAAAAGGACATTTATAAATAGCAAAGATATTATTTTAATATGGAACTTATCCTGATGCAAGGGATGTAAGTAATAGAACTCCACTTTATTATGCACTTATTAATAATTAAAAAGAATTAGTATAATTATTATTATCACATAAATGTAATCCATGGTCATTTCCTGGTTGTATCTATGATACTGATGATCCTACATTAACAAAAATGTTAAAAATAGCTAGAAGAGTAAATATTAAATTATATAAGAATAGTTAGATATGTTATTAATGATGACACCTTATAATACAAGATAATAAATTTGGATTAATTATTGCAGAGTTTTCTATGAGTTTTGATTATATATATATATATATAAATGAGTAAATTCAACTATGTTTTCAAACCTTTGTTTATTGATACATTTGAATATAGCTATATGGATGGGAAGACTGAAAAGTCATTTACAGTAAAAAGAAAGTCTTCAATTAAAGAAGGGAGAAGTGTTATATAAAAGAGTGAACCTATTACCTAATTTAACGTATTTGATTGTTTTATAATTTTAGAATGAATCCATTAAAAAAAGTTAAAAGAGAGCATAAACAAGTAGATAATTGAAATAATCTTCATAACATAGAAACTTATCAAATAATTCTAATACTCCTAAAAATGGAATTAGGTAAATAGAAAGTCAATTGGAAGATGAATTTGAAATTTCAGATAGGAGAAACTCAACTGATTAGAGATAAAATAACATACCTAAAATAAATTACTTAAATTTTAATGTATTCATTACTAAACATAGTAGTTAAATAGATAGCAATTATGAATGGATAAACTAGCAATTCATTTTAAAAAGCATTAAAATTGATAAATACAGACAATAAACTTATGAGAAGAAAAACTATTGAAACTTCTAAAGTTCCTATTATTATAGAAAATGATATTTAATTATATGAACGTTTAGAAAATTAATATCCTTTAGATATCAAAGAATAAATTGGAAAGATGCTTGCTATTAGTGAAAGATATACTCCATATATTTCAATGAGAAAGAGAGATAAGGAGAGAGAGGCATTTACAAGAAATTTGTAATTTCTTGAAGAATCACTATAACAATCAACAGTTCCTGATAAAAAGCTTTAAACAGTTATTTAATAATATTTTGATAAGAAGAAATCATTTTTAGAGGAAAAAGCAAAATAAGATGAAATTTAATTAAGATAATTGTCAGAAGAAACATCTAGGATTCGTTAAAATTAAAGTAGAATGAGAATATCAACAACTTTTTTAAAAAGATTTATTCATTAAGTTGAGAAAGATAAATAATAATAATAATAATAAAAGAATACATAAGAAATAGAAACTTAAAAGAGTGTTATTTAATCAATCAAATCATCCTAAAAACATAAAAGAAGATCAAATGCAATATATAGTGAATAAGTAAAATCTTTATTCAAAAAAATGTTTCATCTAATTGTTGATTGTGTTAAAAAAATGAAATCAATGAAACTTACAATAAAAGAAGTGTTTTAACATGGTGTTATTTAAAAGAAACCATATGAAAGAGAAGGATCTTTTTAATTTTTTGAAGCTGTTGAAAATAATAATTATGATCTAATTAATTTTATCCTCAAAAAATGCAGATATTATGCCTTTGATATTAATGAATTAGGATAAACTCCTTTACATTTAAGTTCTATATAAGGACATTATACAATAACTGAAAAATTATTATAATATGGAGCTTATCCTGATTCATAAGATGTATAAGGATATTCTCCACTTTATTATGCTGTTTAATATTAAAATAAATCAATAGTTTAGATATTATTATATTATAATGCTAATCCTTGGTCAAATAATAAATATAAATTAGAGACTCAAAATAATGAAATAAGAAAGTTATTGAAATAATCAAGAAAAGTATAAATTATATTTAAATTTAGATTAATTTATTACTTTTATTAACTAGACATCCAGATAGAGATTAAATATGGATAAATTCAAGAGAATCTTTATTAACTTGATTGTATTATTTTTAATTGAAATTCATAATAACAGTTTAAAAATATATTAAAATTTATCATAAATTCGTTATTCCAAATTTTATTTATTTAATTGTTTGTCTCTATAGTTTTAAATATAAGAGATATTATTTAAGATGTAAAAATGAATAACTAATAGTATAATTCATATTATAATAATAAAAAACACAAAATAATAAACAAATAAACACAATAATCAAGGCATTTCAATCTCTTCATATTCAAGCAATTTCTTTTCATAAAGAAAATAATATTGTTCATCAATAAACAATTAATGGTCCATTAACTCTAAGAATTCTTATTCAAGAACAAATATCTCTTTAACACTTATCCCTCCTACTTTTGCATAATATTCATTCTTATAATAATCATCATCCTGATATTTTATAGCCATTACAATAGCTAACAAAAGGAATCTTCAATATTTAAATTAATTTACCTATGTATACATTTAGAATTGAGTACTAAATATGGGTGTTTTTCTTATAACCTATCTAAGTAAATTAATGCAATAACAAAGCATTATTCACTACAATGAGTATATTTTGAAATTCTTTATAAGTAATTATGAATTGATATTGAAGGTGCTTTGTTAGCATGGAAATAGGATTGTGACTCTTACTCAATTTCTAAAGCATCTGTCTCTTTTATTATTTCATCTAAGATAGTTGCTACTGTAATAATTAACTAATTCGATTGTTGCATTAATAGATATAATTTTCAATATATATTTTTTTTTACTTAAAAACCATATTATACAAATGATTATTCAAAAATCAGTTATATGTATATATATTATAATATCTGATTTAGAAACTCTTATTTACCATTATTAAGTGTTATTATCATTATAAAACTCAATTTAAAATATACTTTTTCACTTTTATTCAAATATCATTTTGAATTAATCATTATAGATATATTAAATACAATTAATATATCTCTATAAAGAAAATTCATTCTAATTTTTTATATGTATATTGTAGTTAATAAAAAATAATTAAAATATAATGGATTATTAATTATTGATAAGAGATTATGATAAAGTCAAAGAACTAATTAAAGGAGAAAAAGACAGTTATTCTTAATTAATAAACTTTAAATGCGAATAATTATCAGAATTGTCAGATACATAACCATTTTTACCAGACAATACATTGAACAATCAACATTTTGTAGATTAGTATTAAGTTGAAAACCTATATGTTATGGACATTGAATCAACAAAATATTCATTATTGAATTTTATGAGAGATGATAATCAAATAACAAAATAAGTTTTTGAAAATGAGTTGACTTATCCAACTTTTTAGCCATATTTGATTTAATTATCAAAATTACCAAAATAGGATTTTTAAAGAAAAGTAGGTTGGTTAGAAGTTATATATAAATTGATTTAAAGTCCTAAATAAAAAAAATCAATGAAATTTTAGACTTATAATGAATTAATTATGTGGTAAAAAGCATTTATAGAAGTTGCCAAGGATATAACAAATAATTAAGAGTATTTTTTAATTCTTAGAAAACCTTTAAAAGAACTATTTAGATTATGTTTAATTCAAATATTATCAATATTAGATAGAAATATTTATAAATATTTTGAATAATTAAATAGTCTTATAAACAATGATTTAATGTAAATTTTTTAAGATTCTTAATTAAGAATTACAATAATCTATTCATTAGCAAAAATTGTATTTCCTAAATTAGATTCAAAGTATTTTATAAATTAATTATTAGTGAAAAACTACCTGAAGAACACATTAAAATATTAAGTATTTTAATAAGTCATGATAAAATTAATAAAATACCAAAATTTGAATCATGGTTAGAATTTTTTGAATTTCTTTTATTTTTTATGCTTTCAGAAATAAATTTAAAAAAGGAACATATTTTTTAAAAGAATTTAGAAGATAAAATAAAGAAAGAACATCCAGATATTCCATTTATTGATCAATTATGGTATTATGTAGCTGTCAATTTCACATAATAAAATATTAAATTAAATTAATCTTTAAAAAAATTGATATCTCATAATGTATATTCATTAATAAATATATATTGTGTAAGATACAATAAATATTAATTAATGAATTAAATATTAGAAGATTTATTGATTACTCCATTTGAAGATGATGTATTAAGAATGAATATGTGTATAATATTATTTAATACTGATGATTACAATAAATTGCATTAAATGATTTAATCTTTATTAGCAAGTGAATAAATTAAAGATCATGAATTTAGACCTGTAATCATTAGTATGTGTGTAATGTTTACAGGTATTTATCTTGGTAAAGGAGAAGTAATAATTTATATTAATTTTTAATTAGGAAGCCTTATGTTTTGCAAGAATGAATTATAATGATTATGATAAAGGTATAATAACACTTGATACTTTATTGGCATAAATTGGTTATTGTTTTTATAATCTAGGAAAGTCAGCTAAATATGTATTTGAAAAGGAGCATTTCTATATAAAAGCATTAGAATATTATTAAAAGAGTATTGAATAAAATTCTGATAATCATCTTGTTTAATATAATTATGGCAAATTACTTGCAATAACTGGAGATATTAAAAAAGCTTTTTGTCATGTGGATTAAGCTTGTAGATTATGTGGAGCAGAGATTAATTTTAAGATTTTAAGAGCTCTTCTCTATTAAACTTAACATGAAAATTAAACTGCCTTATAAATAATATCATCATTATTAATAATAAAATAAAGTCCATTATTATATTTTATTAAGGCTTCAATATTAACAGAAATTTATCTATTAAATTTATTTAATGAGAAAGAATTGTAATATGCTTAAAATATAAGTGAAGAATTGAAATAATTTGTTATCAAAAAGTTTTAAAAATCAAAAGAAGTTTAATCAATTTTATAAAATCTTAAAAAATTTTTATTAGGAGTTTCAAAAAAAATATATGAATTTGATTAAAATGATTAATTCATATTTCAATTACCTCCTTTAAAGAGTATGTAAAATTTTGATATAGATCCTCTTACATATATCAATTATAGAAATGTATTATAAAAAATAATAATATATAGTGTATATTTAATACTATAGACATTCTAATAAAGTTACAAATTTTTGATTTAGCTAATCAAGTATTAGAATTAGTTGATGATGGAAATGAATCAAATGATAATGAAAAATTGTTTTATGTAAAATATTTATTTTTATATTTTTAGTAAGGATTGTTGGAAGAGAAAAAAGATAAAATTGATGTAGCATGTCATTATTATGAGGAAGTGTTAAGAACAGACTTTTATCATGTTAGAGCTATGTCTAGATTAGGATTATTATATTTGAAACATTATAAAGATAGTAAAATATAAAGAGCAAGTGAATTATTGATTGCTGCATCGAAATTTGAAAAAACATATGAAATTTGGTAAATTAAGTGTGATTATATTGTAGTTTAGGATTAGGTATTTTGAATCAATTATAAAATAATAATAGTGAAGCCTAAAAATTCCTTAATGATGCTCTAAGATTATTGAAAACATCTCCAATTGTTAGTTTTTAAATGATTCCAGACATTTTATTTGGTTGATTATATTTGTGTAATAATCATGGCTTTGTCTATTTATAAAGAAATTAAGAATTTATTCATTGAATATAAATTTCTTGCCATTTATTTTAAATTAAAATCTTTAATTTTTAAAATGATCATAAAAGTTGGTCACCTTAATGGTGAAGTTAAACTATATGATTTAGCTGATTAAACCTCAGCTGGTCATTTAATGTAACTTATTCAATCTGAATTGGGTTGTGAAGTTTCATTGGTAAATTCTGGAGAAGCTGTAGCAGCATCTGCATTATTAGGTAATTACAACCACTAATTAATTATAGGAAATGATGGAATTTATTATGTAACTGTTGATGCAGAAGGAGGAAAGAAGAAAAAGAAGAAGAAGAAGAATTTTGCTAAACCCAAAAAGAAGAAGCACCGACACCGAAAATTAAAATTGGCAACACTTAAGCTATATACCATTGACAATAAAGGTGTTGTTTAAAGATCTCACAAACAATGTCCATAATGTCCATAAGGTGTATATATGGCTAAGCATTTTGATAGACACTATTGTGGTACATGTCATTAAACATTTAGAATGGATGAAGCAACTGTAAGAATTTATTAATAATTATTTAGATCAAAGCAAATTTGGAAGCTATCAAAAAATAATAAGCAGCTAAAGCAGCAGCTGCAGCAGCAGCAGCCCCAGCAGGAGGAGCTGCAGCTGGAGGTGCCGCTGGTGGTAAAAAAGGAAAGAAAAAGTGATGATCAGTATAATAATATTAAATATATTATAAAAACAATAATTATAGAGGATTTATTTTAAATTTTTATTAGAATTTAAGTTGATTTGATTTATCTTATAATGTGAATAAAAAAATGTAAAGTTTTAATTCTAATTTTATTTAATATAGAAATAATATAATGTATAATATTTATATAATAATAATATTAATAATATTAAATATTTTAAATTATATAATCAATTATTTAAAGATTTCCCTCTCTAAGTTTTATTCAAAGAATGTAATGTAGATTATTATTAAATTTCAAATTTAGATATAATCTATCTTAACATATCATTTTATTTCTATAATTTATCATCAAAACAAGTTGGTTTTTTTTATTTTTATTCTGATAAACAATTAACTTTAGGTTTTGGAATCTTTGGAGTTTCTTATGTATATTATTTAATTTAAAACTAATTTTTGATTTATTATTCTTATTATGTAATTATATTTTTTAATTTAAGTATTTCTTATTCACATTATATATGATTTGTAGTATTATAATTAATAAAATTTAAATTTTCTTTTTAGACTTTTGAATAATTATCATATACTTTCACTTATTCCTTTAATATCTAATTCTATTCTTACAATTCATCAATAATGATTTTTTTATTTTATTAATTTTACAATTCTTATTCTAAATCTTTAGACTTTTGTTCAAACTAAATTAATATTTAAATTTATTATTATTGTCTAGATATATATGAATGTATCATACAGTTCATTTCTTTTTTCTAAATTATTGATAATCAATTACAAATTTAAACATTCTTATTTTAAAAAATTAATTGTAATATCCTAATTTTGTCCTAATTCATTCATTTACAATTTTTCTATTTCTAAATATAAAATAAAAAATTATATTTTTACAATTTTTCAATGAAATATTTTCTTCTTTTAAATTTGATTATTCATTTTATAATTTTTGGATATTAGTTTCTAATAATGAAATTTTGGATTATAGTTAATTGATTTCTATCTCTTATTTGTTATTGATAGTTTCATATTCAATCAATTACTTATATAATATTTGTTATTGATAACCGAATTCTTCTTTATTAAAGAAATCAAGAATATATTAAATTTGATCATTTCTTAAATAAGTTAGAGCTTCTTTAGCCTTATCCCACTCATAGATTACCTATTCTATATATATGTGATTAAAATACCTTGATGATGTTAAACACAAATTTATTTAACTCGTTTTCATCATTCCCTTCTACTATTTTTAAAGGAGTAATGACTTGAAGAGTTGAATTAAAGTTTGACATATTTTCAATGAGGGATTTAATTCTTGCATAATTAAATACAAATTATGAATCTGAATATTATTCAGCTTTGATAGGAAAATATTCTTAATTGAATTAATTTAAGAGTTTTTCAACGAT